ATTCCAGTAAAGAACGTCAAAAAAAAGGAATGGATTTTTAGGGAGCTATTTGTAATTGCACATTTTTTTTACTCCGCAAAAATTCACACATATAGGAAATTATTGTAAACGGAACAAGATTGTTCACATGGGAATGCTCTAGTGGTACAACGTTCTATCTGACTTTGTGCGTTTATTTGGTTATGGTTTAAACCGACTAGTTTGGTGTGTTAAGTGGTGGGCAGTGGAGCAGCGGACATTTGTGTTCCTGCTTTATCTTTGTGCTTAAGAATACATTAATGGATCTGAAGCTTTCACTCAGTAATTATTGCAATCATCACTTATTTTTCTAATTTTTTGTTCCGTGGGTTCGAGCAGTCAACACTGATATGGCTGCTTCATGTTTGTAGCAGTCAGTATTCTAGAAATAAGTTCTGCAGGAAGTAACACTCTTGTGTTTGTTACTTGTTTCTAGGAGTCAACAGTAGTGTTAATATGCTTGCAGCAGTCACTTCTTCAGTGGTTGCTGCGTGAATGTAAGAGTCAGCACTGATGTTCCTGCTCGTGTTCGGGGCTTGTAAGAGCGTGCTGGTAGCTGGGGCTCTTAACATAGGTGGAGAGAGTCCGAATGGAGCAGGGTGTAGCCACTGCCGACGGTGTAGGGCCTCCGTACGGTCCTGCCATGTTGTCAGACATTGAATGAGATCGTACATGACGATGGTCAAAATTGTAATTACATTTGAGGATCTTGATAAAAGCAGCCTTGAAGGTGCGATTGAAGATGGTATAGATGATGGGGTTGATTGTGGACGATACGTAGCCCAGCCACAGACATACATTGGCCAGGTGATCAGACACCTGACACGTCGGACACGCAGCAAAATAAATATTCAGGATGAAGAAAGGTGTCCAGCATATAACGAAAGCGAAGAACACGATACCTAGCACTTTCGAAGCTTTCTGCTCCGTGGCCACAGCGTTGGCGGCTAATGCATCCCTCTTTCTCGACGGCAGAAAGCGAAGGTGCCACGCAGCAGTGCCCACAAGCTGTAACCGAAGTGCTTTTAGCTTAAAATTCCTAGTCTCCCGAGCTATAGATTCCGGCGTTTGGGTTGCCTGCTCGCACTTGTGTATATTGGAAAACTCGTAATGGCCGGCATGCCCGTTAGAATAGGATCCCCGATAGGAAGTTCTCGGAGTAAACGCAAAGGAATGGGTAGCCTGTTGGTGCTTCCGGCGAACTGAGCGGTACCTGCCCATGGTTCGAGCCTTGCCCGCCGGTGCGTCCGCGGCGAACTTGGCTTTCTTACGCAGCAGATGAACGGTGAGGGCGTAGCTGACCACCATGATCACCATCGGGATGTAGAAGGCGCACAAGGAGCCGAAGATGAAGAAGGTCTGGTTGTTGATGGTGCAGACGTAATCCGCGGGCATGATGTTGGTGGTGTCGACAATGCCCAAGACAGTGATGATGGAGGTGACTAACATCGCTAACAACCACACCAACACAACCTTCACTCCCACAGTCTGAAAGAGCAGTCATCGTTATTTTCCTAAGATTACACATATTAAATGAAATAGCATTATAGAGACATAGCGTCATATGACATAACGTCATATGACAGCATCATATGACATAGCATCATAGAGTCACAGACATTACTATTCATACCATGACATGTCAAATCCCAAGATTCACTCTGACATAAGTTAAGATACAACTAACCCCATATTTGAGTGGATAATTTAAACGTTTCGATCTGTCTTAGACCAATATTGCGACTTTATAGTGGGCCACGACTAACCAAAATACTTAAAGTTTTACCCTCTAAATTGTTACTTATTTGTCAATTGTTCCAGCTACGGCATAGTTACTTTTATTTCTAATGGATGTTAACACGTACCTGCTGGATGCTGACGATTCTGCTTCACAAACCATAACACGGGTGGGGATAGAACTCGCGGCCAGAGAGTCATAAAACTCCAGATCGACGCTTTAGCTAATGCTAATATATGAGTCAAGTTCAACATTATTTTAGAAATATCTTTGAAGTCATTCATATACACATAATTAAATGAAGAACGAAGATTATTTTTTTTTTACCTTACGTTAAACCTGAGCAAATTTTGCAAATGACGGGATGATGTTAAAATAACAGCAGTCTCATGACACTGATGACAGGCGAGATGATCAGGAAAAAAATACATAAACAGATAATCTGAGACAGTAAACATGCAGTCAATCTCCGTCACAATAACAGTGTATTCATAATTACAATTATACTGAAACGCGTGTATACAATGTTAGTTGGTATTTATCACTTAAATTCTACTGTGTATGCTGTATATATTGACGTATTTAGTGGCATGTTCGAATGTGTACACAAAGAGGTTCTTACAGTGTGTCTCGGATTTCATCATCATTATTATTATTGTGATGAATGGTTTGAAAAACCGACAAGTTGAAGATTGAGACACTTATGCAGCATATGGGAACCTTTATTCAGGAATAAAGATTCCCATATGCTGCATAAGTGTCTCAATCTTCATTATTATTATTATTATTATTATTATTATTATTATTATTATTATTATTATTATTATTTATTATTATTATTATTATACTCATTGGGATTCGCTAAAACCTTAGGGATCATATGACGGTAGGGGGGAAAGGGAGGTCGAGTGTCGTTCAGGGGAGCGAATCATTACCGTGCTATCAGGTAAGAAATGAAAGGTGTCAGTGGTCGGGATATATGACCTTAGGACCCGGCGATAACAGTATTTGCATAATGGTATTTTATGATCAGATGCTGAGAGGCAGGGGTAAAATGGAGAGAAAAAAAGAGAGAAAGAGAGAGCTGCCCTTACGATTCAAGAAAAAAAGATGACTGCCCTGTGCGGGTCCGAGGTTAAGACCGAAAATGTTTACATTTTGGGGACTAGGAACTTGAGGTGTCGTGCCTGGACCTTTTATTTGAATACGAGTAGCAACTGGGAATCTGTTGTAGCAAATCAGAATGAATTAACTAGACACAGAGTTTAAGAGTTGGTGCCTGAAACTCATAAATTGGGATGCGGGTTACTGGGAAATAACCTGTAGAGGAATGGGTCTGGATTCGGTCTTAAGAAAGCGGACCCAACTCGCCCACTGGGTACTTTGAGGTCCTAGCTCAGCCCTATTGAAGGGGCACGGAATCAGAAACTGTGGAATGGATCCAGATTAAGTCCAATGGAAGGAGGATCGGACGACCCGATCCTGTGTAGGGAGGTTAGGACTCGACCTTGTGGAATGGATCCGAAATCTCCACTGACGATATTGACCCACCTTCTTGCTGCTGCTCCTGGTCTTGAGAGGGTTACGGATGCCCAAGTAGCGTCCCAGGGAGATGGTACACATGTGCATGATGCTGGAGGTACACGCCAGCACGTCGCACGTCACGTAGATGTTGCACCACACCACGCCGAAGGGCCAGTAGCCTATTGGGGAAGAGCAGGACGGGCATGAGAATGGTGTGCATTACCTGGCTTATAGAGAGCTATCCATGAGGGAAGGAGATAAAGAGCTGAGTACAAGGAAGATTTAGGTTTAAAGTTTGCTCTGGAGAGCTGAGTTCACAGGGTGTTGTAATTCCTGTGAGTGTGGCGGCTTATTGGAACAGGGAAAGTGAACATATATTTTCTTGCTTTCACCAAAGAGAAATTTGGTTTGTTGTTGTTACTGTTCTCCTCTTCCTCCTTCTCCCCCTCCTCTTCCTTCTCCTTCCCCTCCTCTTCCTCCTCCTCCCCCTCCTCTTCCTCCTCCTCCAGGATACATGCAGTTCATTTAGAAATTTCTTCTGTGTAAATCGCAGTATCTTGAAAAGCAACAACAACAGGAAAAGGCATTTGCAGAGAAACTTCTTTGTCATAACAAGAAAACACATGTTCACTTTCTCTGTTCCAATAAGCTTCCACACATTTGTTCACTCACAGGAGGAACATTGCTCAGTACTCTTTCCTTTCGTGACTAAATTAAGCTCTAGATCTTCCTGCAACTGAAGTGAAGAACATTTTGAGCCCTACACAATGTGAAAGAAAAGCAAGAAGAAGAAGAAGAAGAAGAAGAAGAAGAAGAAGAAGAAGAAGAAGAAGAAGAAGAAGAAGAAGAAGAAGAAGAAGAAGAAGAAGAAGAAGAAGAAGAAGAAGATGAAGATGAAGAAGAGGAAGAGGAAGAAGACAGACGTAAATGTATATATGTTAGAATCAAGAGACCATCTAACAAAAATTTTCATAACTAATAATCCAACAACGTACACAGTTTATACAAATCACAACAAGCCTATAATATGAAAATAAAACTAAGACACCCTTTCGGTCCGTCGTGGAACGAAACGTTCACTTGTTATACAGTATATCATATTTTCTATTGGTTAGACACGTCATCAGAGAAAGAGATTCCAGAATTTATTGCGGTATTCCTATATTCATTTGTCACATTTTTTCATTCCATCCTTCATTAATTTCAAGTAAAATACTTTCGCATATATATACTGTAGCTTTGTTTTATTTATTCGGTAATTAATTAGCCAAAATATTCCTTCATATTATCTGTCATTCGCTTACCATAACTTAGGTTATGTACGTCTAAAGGCGTATTTCTTCCGACGTATTTTCACCCCTATTTTAAGGGTGAAAATACGACCACTTGTACCTACGACCGTGCTGTTTACAGCTTAGCTTACCATACCACTGGCGGGGTTAGAACCCGCGATCAGAGAGTCTCAGAACTCCAGACCGTGGTTTGGTTTGTTTGCAATCGTGTCATTACGATTTCGTGAGCCAAGTCAGCTTAGCTTAGGTTATTTTGTACTTTTCTGTTTTCATGCATACGAATGTTTTGTATGCAAATAAACAACTGTTTGTGTTGTTCAGTGTTTCTCCTAAACCTTACAGTATAAAATACAGTACTAAAAGCATAAGGTTCGACTTGCGTCCATTTTGACTTACGACCGGTTGGTCGGAACCAAGCTCGGTCGTAAGTCGGATGGTACTTGTATTCTTATCTGGTAGTGAAAAGGTTATGTGCACCCTTAGGGTAGTCGATAGGCTTTCAACCCTTGTTAACTAACCAACCAACCTTACCATAACATTCCTTCGTTCATTCACTCACCATAACATCTCTTCAATCACGAAATAAACCATTGCGTCGGTCTGTTCTTCTTTCATGATAACAGTGTTCCTTCATTGCGTTCCTTTCATGGTGTCTTGAAGCTCGATTGCCAGCTCACACATTGAGGGTCGTGGTTCTATTCCCGGTACGGTTGGAAATATTAGGACGTGTTTCCTTAAGACACCTGCCGTCCTTGCACACCTATCAGTAAAATAGGTACCTGGATGTTACTCGACTGGTGTGGGTGGCGTCCTGGGGACAAAATTAACCTAATTTATCCGAGATGCGCAGCATAACAAGGGTCTTTCTATATAGTAGTATGTCATTGATGTCAGCTATGGTCTGTATACATTGTAGTTGTAGAAATAAAGATTATTATTATTATTATTATTATTATTATTATTATTATTATTATTATTATTATTATTATTATTATTATCATTATCCTCTCAGCCAGACTCACGTAGGGCTTCCAGGGTCTGCTCATATGTCAAGGAAAATAGAGGAGCTCGTTTTATTTATGTTTTCTTTTTAATGGATGGAGAGAATTTACAGACAGCTTTATTTTCCTCAAGACCGCCCCCCCTTAAAAAAACAAAGGCAGCTGCCTCCGTGATCTGTGACTGTCTTAATTTACGAGAAACCATTAATGGTGCCCACCACGTAGTTTGTGGAGGCTACTTGTATAACTAGTACTGGGTTTGTTGCTGCTGTTGCTGATTCAGCAAACTTCACACTTTGCCACTGGTTGTCTGGTTAATGCGGTTTACAGCCTATCGACTACGCTGTGGTCATGAACACACTTTCCGGTGTACGTTGTGACTATCTCATACCATCAAATATAATCATAAAAAAAAATTGAATCCGTAAGATGGTATCCAAACTATGTCCATAAACTGTCTTCGAAGTATATACATAAACCATCTTCAAACTATATCCATAATATAGCAGAGTATATTCATATTCTTTCCCAAATCACAGGACACAGGATATTTACACTGAGACGTGCATTTCTCTCAGTGTATGTATGCTGAGAGTGGCCTTAACGACGCTAGTGTAATCGATAGGGTTAAACTCCATTAACGAGCCATCAGAGGTGATAAAGACATAGTAAATTTTGACGAAAGGGAAAAATCACCCCACTGTTTAGGCCAAATAATGGGATGATGGTATTTTTTAAAATTAGAGAAGACCTCTGACACCCCACAACTATGATAAGGTAAGAGACTGTGGAATGACCGTGGGTAAAATGGCAGGTATTATAGACAAGCATGGTAGAAAGCGACGTTTTGCAGAGGAAGCAGTGCACGACGTTTAGCTCTGAATGAAGCTTTATCTTAGCGAAAAGTCATTTTTAATAAAATTAATTTCTTTTACTGTATCTGGTTGGTTGGGGTTTAAACTCCACTAGTCTAGGGTCATTAAGGCTGCACTACCGGTAACCTTTTCAACCAACAGACAAAAATATTTTAATCCCTAAAATAGGGATTAAAGTAAATTTTCAACATACATATATGCAGGGACGGATCTACCATACAACTAATGAAGCTTAAGCTTCGGGGCTCCCTAATCCCGGAGGGACCCAGGAAGCGACTTTAATTTACACTGCTAAAAATTTTTGGTCTACTGTGTGAGAAGCAATTTTTTTAAAGATAATATTAGTAATATAGTGTAATTTAGTACAAATTAATATTTAAAGTATTAATTAAGAGACTATTAAAGTATCATGTAGGCTAGTCGTTGCTGGTTGCGATGGGATGGACCGGTAAGCCAGCGGAAGGTCTCGGTCAGATGACCGAAAGCTCCAGCTGTGGGTCATCACTTGACTAGAACCCGCGCCAGGAAACACTTCTCCAGTTTCCTGACAAACCTTACCTAACCAGCTTCAGGGCTCCAAAAATGTAGATCCAACACTGATATCATGCGCATATCTGGAATTTCCGCTTAACCCAGGCGTCGTGATGAGCATTTACCTGGCGTTGGTGTAGGTATGTCAGGTGAAGTAAGGAAAAATAGTGAATGGGAACTTGGATCTACAGTGATTTTCTAGTTTTTTTCCCCCCTAAGCGAGAATCAGTTATTTTTTTTTAAAGCAATGTCCAGAGTCAGCAGATTTAATAGTCCATTTCTCAGTTAAACCAGTTAACAGGGGTTATAATATTGTGATGTAGTCCAGCTGGGCTTGTGAGGTCTCTGGGGAGACCTAATTTAACCAATTATGTGGTCACACCTTGCCTTGGCAAACGTCTGTCAGCCACGCCCACGTCTGAGGTCTTTTGTTCTTGACGGCGTCAGACCTAGGCGTCAGGTCGTACACGTGGTTGTGGGGCGTGCTTGGACCACCATATAAACCCAAGGAACAGCTGAGCAGAGGAGATTCGGGCAGAGCTCTGGCCTGGGAGCAGAGCTGAGCTGGAGAGTCTCGGGAGGAGAGACTGTTGGAGACATTGGGCAGAGTAGTGGCTTGGAGCAGTACTCGTGCTGTGTAGGTCTTGGGACCTGTGGCTTAGTTCCTGTAGTGAACTGTCCTCTGTACTATATTGTAAGTTATACTCATTTTCGTCAAGTTGATTGTGTTCCCTGTCTCACTGCTTATATGTACCATCCCATTTGTCTAAACCACAATAATGTTCTCCTGTTCCCAAATATATTATTGTACAAAGACTTAATAATAAACTGTGTTTGAGTAGAATAGTAATATTCACTGTCCCCGTTATTTGCTATTCCTATTTCTTATATTTTATTATGTTTAGTTAAAGTAGTGAGAGGGTGAGTAGTGTGGAGTGGTGGGTAGAGTAATGAGAGGTGAAGTTGTAGTCACCAGTGACCTCACATTACCAACCTCCGCACTCATCCCTCCTACTGCCTCGCCTGTAAGTTAGGTTAGGTTAGGTTACCCCCAGTACCCCCCAATCATTACCCCCCTACATGACAATATAGGTTTTATGGAGGGTTGTTTAGTGTTGCAGTATGGTTTACATTGAGAGAGTGGCTTGGTGGCTAAAGCTCCCGCTTCACACACGGAGGGCCCGGGTTCGATTCCCGGCGGGTGGAAATATTTCGACACGTTTCCTTACACCTGTTGTCCTGTTCACCTAACAGCAAATAGGTACCTGGGTGTTAGTCGACTGGTGTGGGTCGCATCCTGGGGGACAAGATTGAGGACCCCAATGGAAATAAGTTAGACAGTCCTCGATGTCGCACTGACTTTCTTGGGTTATCCTGGGTGGCTAACCCTCCGGGGTTAAAAATCCGAACGAAATCTTATCTTATCTTATCTTAACAAAAATTAAGGTAAAATAGTATGTCTTTGAAATGAGCTGAAAGC